GTTGTGTGCCCATACAGAGACGGTTGTACTAAATTTTGTAGTTGTGACCCCCGCCATGGCAGGAGGGAGCCACGCGCCTGTGACTGAAGGAGTAGCCGTGGCTCTCAACCAAGAACAAGTTGAGCAGGTGAGGGAAGTAGCACTGGTGAATAGCAAAAGCATAAGGCGATCTGGGGAACGTGCACAGAAAATGAGGATCCAACAACAAGAAACTCACGAAAACGCGGAGGATTTAGATGCAAAGGCCGATGATGCGTGCACTGCGAACGCGAATGAGGCAGAGGAATTGCTGGCGGAGCCTGAGCAGCACGCGGAAGAAGACGACGTGAAGGAGACCTACCCAATGGTCGCCGATGAGGATGCCGCAGCGGACGACACGTCAGGTATAGAGGAAAGGCCGCAGGGAAGGTTGAAGGAGGGGCCGCAGGCAACAGGCGACACACCTGAGCCTCTCCTTTTTCCTAACAACGTCACGATAGAACTATTAACACCGGAGGAAATGGTGATACGTCGTGAGTCCAATGAGAGGAAGTGGGGATTGTCGCTTGAGAGTAGTGGTGAGGGAAATGAACGACAGGTGCATCTAACATCGCTGCCGGAGTTGACATCCAAGCGAGACGCCAGGCGCAGGCATCCCTTCTATAAGACTTTCCTGAAACCCCCAATGAAGACGACATGGCGCATTCAAAGTGTGAACGGTATTTCCAGTTTGAGGGCGCCTCAGCTTCTAGACATCATGCGACGCTCCCTTAAGCTACGCATCAAATTCTTCAAGGGATGATAGTCTTGGAATATAGAATCAAACGCAGGAATATGAGGGAGAAGTAAAGAACAACAACAGCAAAAAAAAAAAAAATCGCCCGCGCATACCGTAAGGCAACCAAAGAAGAAGAAGAAAACATGAATAGGCGTCAGGCTTGAGAAAAGGTGTACAACATATTGGATAGAGTAAAAAATGGACGTGTGCGTCTCTGTTTCTGTATTTTACTCCCTTTCTTTTTTCGTGCCTGTCTGGGATAAACAAATAGAGAGATCCATCATTGCTTGCAAACGAAGGGGAAAGCCACACTGTTATCTTGTGTATGAAAGAGAGAGAGAGAGGGAGGGACATATCGAGGACGAATTGTGTAGACCTGTCGTACGACAAAAAAAGGTGTAATTACATGCTTGAGCTGTTATTGCAATGCCTTAGAGGAACACACACACACACACAGAGAGAGAGAGAGGGTAAGACGTGGTTCAAAGTCTGTGAAATTGGCTTTTCGACGCGAGGCGCTTTGCCCATGTCTTTATTGGCGTTTTTTTTTCTTCACTTTTTTTTCCGTTTCCTTCAACAACGATTTAGAATTGCTTGCATTCTTCTTTAGGTCCTGTTGCTGTGACGATTCGAGTACGTTACCCCCCTCCTTAGGTTGGTTCCGAGACACGATTACAAAACGAACAGTCTCGCAATGGCCACTGCTCCTCCGCGGAAAAGTGACATGGCGTTTGTGGACGGTGCCGCAGATACCACCGAGGTGGGCATAACTGAGGCCGCCGCCGCCGCCGCACCTCCCTCTACATTTGCCGGGAAGGTGCAGCATTACTGCGCATACGCGGTGGATGGAACACGACGGCGACTCGCGATGGTGTGTCCATGGAAGGAGTTCTTTGACCGGCAGAGTTTCTCGCTTCCGTCAGGTCTCAGTGATTTTTTCAGCCGCCTTAACCGCAACATCAATCACTACTACCACAACTACATCATCATGGCACTATTGTGCTCGTCTTATGTGCTGCTTCTGAACCCAGCGTTTGCGTTGTGTTTCTTGCTTACTGTAATGATGTGTTGGTTTGTAAGTGCAAAGCGGGCGGAAGCGGCGGAGACAAACAGCAGTCACTTCACCGTGGCTAGTCATAAAATAACCTTTCCACGGGCGTATCTATTTATTACCCTCTTTGCGGGTCTTTCATTTTTTCTCACAGATGGTAGTTCGGTGGTGTTTTGGTTGGCTTTGTCGTCTGTAGGCGTTGTTGTGGTGCATGCGGCGATGCGCAAGCCATCGGTGGAAGAGCAACCCTTCTCATTTGTGTAGTTCCTATCAACACCGCAGCAAAATGACACTGCGGAAAACGAAAGGCGCAGGCCGAGCGTATATGCACATAAAGGTATGAAAAGGATGTAGACAGTAGAGGTGAGGGAAAAAAGGATGTGAGGGTGTAAAAGGGAGCTAGAGAGAAGCAACTAAAGAAGAAGAAAAACGGATTTTTGTTGGGAATTCGTTCTTATATATTCGCCACTTTGGAGACACTATGTGAGAGAAGTCATTTGAACTGCGTGCGATTGCTGTGATGAAAGCATAGGACGCAGAGCAGTGTGTGATTAAAGAAGGGAAAGTGTGCTGAACGAGTGTATCTTCATATCTTTCAAAGCGAGAGAAGGGTGTTGATGTCAATTAAGTGTTATTTGTGGGTGCTGCACCCGTGTTGTTGTTGTTGTTGTTGTTTTTGTTTTGTGTTGAGGAGAGTGAGTGATAGTTTCAGTATAAATACTTCTCTCGTGACAGGCGTTTCTGTTCCTCTTCTCTCTCTTTCTCGGTTTTGTTTGTGATGGGTGGATGGATGGATATTTGTAGAGGGTGCGGGAGGGAGGGGGAAGGGGGGAGAGATTGATGGCCGCACACGTGGTGCAACGCTTTCGTGAATGCCAAAACCTTCTGGACTCGGTTGTGGCTAATCTCAGTGCCGTTAGCAATCTTACGTCGCAGCGGATAGTCGTGGAGGAAGCCACACGCCGTATTTCTTGTCCCTCACTTTCTTATGGGGTCAGTGATAATGCGTTGCGCTGCTGTACGGATCCACTTGGTATACTTCTTGCCTTTCCCGAGTCCACCGTGGAGCTCATTATCGCTCAGCACACGGAAGATGTAAGCACGCTTCTCCGTTCCCTCTCTAATTCACAGCAGGCGTGGTGCAGTAAGCTGCAACAGGCGAAGGAGGCGTCTTTGCCGCGGAAGTCGCAGCAACAACAACAAGGAGCTTCGATGATGACTGCGGCTTCAGCTGCTGGATTTCAAATTGAGGAAAAAGAAAGCTCCAAAAATATACCACCGTACAGTTCGAAGATGATGCTTGGGATGCATGCTCTTTTAGCCGTTCTTGCGGAAATGTATGGATGGTTGCAAGAACTTATTCTTGCCCTCCGCGCCGATTTGGCAAATCCGCCACAAGCCGTGCAGCTTTCGCGCTGTTTGAGTGGATCCTCTTTACATACGGGGAGTGCCAGATGCTCCATCGCAATCCTCTCGCTGGAAACGGCCCTCGAGCAGCTTCCAAGCAGCGTCATGAAAGAATGGGAAGCCTGCAAGGCGCGGCACATGTTGGATGAAGCACAGATTTTGCTTGCGAGCTGAGAGGTAAAAATGCGGGTCTAGTGGTGGCGAGTGGGGGGGGGGGGGAAAGTAAGAAAGGGAAGTTAATTTATATTACGACCGTCCTCTCCGTATTCTTTCATTCTTTATTTTCTTTTCCCCATCAGTTCCCCCTCCATTTTTTTTTACGACAGCCTCGTGCGGTGCGGAATTTCTTTGCAGCATTTTGGCTGGTTGGTCCCCGAGTCTAAACGTTTGTGCGGGGGATAAATTGTGATTGTCTTTTGTGTCCCACCACCACTGACCCCGCTTTTCCGGTTCATTTGTTTACGTTTGCCTTTTTTTACCCCATTTTGCGTGTGTGTTGACGCATCCCATGAAGAGAGTAATAATTATTTTTTTTGGTTTGCCTGGCTGTGCAAAATGTTTCACCACCATGACCGTGCCACTTGGCTGAGCTCCCATCGCCCCGAGCCGCTGCGGCCGATCATAGCCCCATCCATCCTCGCCTTCGACTTTGCACGGCTTCTTGATGGGTGTTTGCATGTCCTTTCCGACGAAGGAGGTGCCTCGGAGTGGATACATGTGGATGTGATGGATGGACACTTTGTTCCGAACATTTCTGTTGGCATGTGTGTGGTGGAATCCCTGCGAAAGCATTTACAACACGTATTCCTGGATGTGCATTGCATGATCACGAACCCTGACCGGTGGGTAGAAGAAATGGCAAAGGCCGGGGCCTCACAGATGACTTTTCACTTTGAGGCGGCGGAAAACCCAAAGGCAGTTGCAAATCAAATCCGAGCCGCTGGGATGCAGTGCGGAGTGGCGCTCAAGCCAAGCACACCGGCAAGTGCAGTGAAAGACCTTGTAGAAGAGAAATTGGTGGACACGGTGCTTGTTATGACTGTCGAACCAGGTTTTGGTGGGCAAACGTTCATGCAAGACATGATGCCGAAGATCGCGGAGCTACGGCAGGCCCATCCCCTGTTAAATATTCAAGTTGATGGGGGTGTGAGTGAAGAAACAATTTACGCGGCTGCAGAGGCGGGAGCGAACATCATTGTTGCCGGAACGGCCATCTTCAAGGCAGCGGATAAAAAGCAGACGACCGAGACGATGCGGAATGCAGTGAGGATGTGTCTTACCCCAAAATGATGCATAATGAGACGCACATGCCTCATCTACTGTATGGCGTGCATACACGTTCACATGTGTGTTTTTATTGGAATTAAAAAAATGAAACGCATACAAACAAAAAAAAAATACATCCTTTATTTCACTAAAATATGGCGTGAACCTTTCAACCCAGACGAGTTACGAACGTCTAAAGATGTGCAGCTGTGTTAACACACAGGTCCATGCGTATGCATCTACATTCAAAACCAATACCTGAAGAATTGTCCAACAACTATTTGAAAACATGTACATGTGGTTGTCCCTTTCCCTTTCTCCTAAACTCTATGTTTCTTTCTTATCTAGTGGTGAGCAGATGGGTGAGGCTTTATTTTCCTATTTTTTGCCTTATTATTTTTTTTGTACTACCAGCATTTGAAGGGGAACGGCGCGGGAAAGCGCACAAAGAAACGCAAAACAAAAAAAAACTTTTCCATGCAAGGAAATACCTTTGCACGCCTACTCGAACGTGTGGCTTCTGTGCCGCATCGGAGTATTACATCCCTGCCGTATGGTGAGTGGTTTAGTCTCTACGTTCAAGCACTAAAAGATGCTCGGAGAGAAGAAAGAATGCCACACGATAAGGCGGAGCTGTATGTGGAGCAGCATGCCCTGGATGTGGCTCTTCTGAGTAGTGTTGTATCCCAAAAGTGGTCTGATGTCGTTCTTCCCAGCGCAAGTAGCAGCACGACGGGCATAGCATGGTGTCGCGAGAGTACAGAGGCGGAGTGGCTTCATCCTTCAAGTGCAATGCATAGGCGGGAACTTGTGACGACATCGTTTCTAGTTGAACCATTGTTGGCTGGTCGAGCCATTGCATCATGGACAAGGGCGGTGCGACAAGGAAACGCTTCCTTCACTGTCGTGGAAAAAGGTGCAACGGACGATGGTGGAGCACCAGCCCCAAAGTTGATGATAATGATTCCCTTCACAACATTATTTCAGCTACGATGCGAGGCTTATTTGCGTCCTCAGTCGCCTTCATTGTGTGTAGGGGGTAACAAAACACTGCAGCCTCCACTTTTGCTTCAGGAGCGCAGTGCTCGCCTCTCAACCCTACAATCTGTACGCCATTTAATGGAGTTGCAGTCAGGGAGTCAACGTACGTCGCGTGTTCAATTTCTTGTTTGGAACCCTGTCAGTGAATTTGATGCCATTATGCAGATTTCCCGAGTGCGTGCAGGCCTGCCAGAAACCTTGAGGAACCTGTTCTCATTGTCGCATGTGTGTGAGCGCGAGGCTGTGCGGATTGCCTATCTTGCGCATTACCTCAATTTTTCTACAAAGGGGGCGCCACTGACTCTGTTGGCTCCGCAATTGCAGTTTGCAAAGTTGCAGCAGTTGGGAATTACGAATTTCCATGACAGGAGTCAATTAACGCTTGCTGTGGAGGAGCGGCATCGCGTTTGTGGAGATTCAAAAGGTGGATCGCTGCATCAACAAGCTGTTAATAGGTGTGGGAAGCTTGTGCGACGCATGTCAACCCGTGAAGACAATCTGAGACATATCCTTATTCCATGAGCAAAAAAAGGGGGATAGATGAAAGGAAGGAAGGATGAGTTCTGTCGGCAGGCAGGGTGTCGCTGTGGTGTGGGGTGGTGCGTTGTAGCTGCATGAGATGCAGTTGTGTGTTTTGTGTAGAGCAATTTTTTATCATTTTTGTGTTTCTTTTTTTCTTTCTTTGTTTTTTTTTTTTTCCTGCTCCACCTCAATTGCTTTCTCTTTCTGGCCATTGCGTGGACCTGAGCTTGGTGCGAGAATATAAAAAGGGAGAGAGGAAGGAGGAAGGAGGAACGAGTTCAGATGGTTGTGGAACAACCAGAGCAGCTGGTGACATGCCTCTCATGGAACAACGAAGGCACAAACCTCGCGGTGGGTTTGACACATGGTTTTATTGTTTACAGTACAGAATTGCTTTCGAGTGAGGATGGATGTCTGCACGAGGTCATTAGATGGCCTGTTTTAGGCGGTGTAAGCATATTGGCGTTACACGGGCAGAGTAACCTTGTGATTTTGGTGGGTTGGGAAGTCAATTACCGCAACACTGTCACGATACTCGACCTTTCTGTGGATAACACAATGAATCAGGATCATTGGTTGCTGGCGCGTGCAAAGCTCCCGGCTGTAGTGAATGCGTTGCGTTTCCATCCCTGTATGGTGTTGGTGGGTGTTGAAACAGGTCCCATATACGTTTTTGATCACACACTACGAATGATAGAGTCATTTGAGGTGTCTAACCCAACATCTAACTCGCCTCCGAGAGGCGACACCTTAGCATTGGGCACCATGCTTGTGGAGAAATTGGCGTGTGGCATTTGTTATTCTCAATTATATGGAGTTATTCTTGGCCCGAAGAGTGGCACGGTACGATGCATTTGCTATGCCACCGAAAGGCATGTACAGTCAGGTTTGCTGCAAGAACCATTTCCCAATCTTGACAAGAAACTCACCCCTCAGCTCACGGTAAACGTTATGGAGCTTCACCGCAATGAGGTGAGATGTATCACTACCACCCCTGATGGTGTGCGGGCACTTACCGTGAGTGAGCGGGGGACATCACTCAAGCTGATTGATGTTGAGAACCACATTGTAGTTTGTCAGTTCTCCAGAGGAGCAACACCCAATGTGGTTCATGCACTGGGGTTGCTCGTGTCCTCCACGCACACCATAGCTGCCTGTATTTCAGGCACAGGCACCTTTCATCTCTTTTATTTTCACACTTCTAACGCTTTAGATTCTGGGGTCGCTGGGGCGGTCAATGCAGATCGAAGCGTCGGCAGCCATGGTTTTATGCAAGCATGGTCGGATTACAGAAACAGCGTGTGCCCCAAAGCACGTCTGCTAATTCCAGAAGATGAGTTGTACAATAGTATTTGCAGACAAGGAGATTCTGGCAAGTCAATCTATAGTATGGTTCTTCGCCCCGTTGCGAAAAAAGACTCTTGTGTGGCCCTTGTCGTTCAGCGATGTATGCTACCTCAAGGGATAACGAAGAAGGCACGGATTCTCTCTGTTCAAGCGGAGCTCTCGTTAGTGGAAAGTATGAAAATTGTACGCAGCTTCTACTTTCCAAAGGACGAGTTGTAAGGCAAAATAAAAAGGAGTTGAGGGGAAAAAGAAATGCAGAGATCCTTGTGGGGGTGGGTGGGTGAGTGGGTTGGTGTTGCCGAAGTGTATTCTGCCTTTGTGGTAGGACGTATTGCAGGAAGATGGAATAACAAAAATGAAAAGACCGGTGTGTGTCTGGTGATTGTTGTTGTTGCTCGTTATGTTATTTACTTTTATTATTGTTTTCTTCTCCTTTTTCGTGAGCGTATTGGTTTTGCTTCTACTTGCTGTCCGCGTCCCCATTGTCGCCTTTGAGCGAATAGTGAGAGCGTGGGCGGGCCGCGGCGTCCTTCTGAATCTAAGAACCTCACCCAGGTCCATCTCATTTCAACAGCTGCCGTTTGCTCTCTCTCCCCCCGCCCCCCCCCCACCCACCTCAATTTCGCTCGCTCGCTTCTTGACGCCTCTGTGGATGCCTGCGGTGGAATGGGGACGAATACACGCATTCCTGTGAAGTAAAACGAAAGACAACGAGATAAGAAGACAAAGACAAAAAAAAAAAGGCAGAGCACGAACGAGACCGAAGGAGCACCATCACACTGCGAGGGGTATTAGAAGACAAAAATGAACTTTATTTTTAGCGGCCTGTGGTGCGTTTTGTCCACCCTTTCGCTTCTGGTAGGCCTCATCAGCGTGATTACGTATATTTTGGTCATTGCCGCGCAGCAGCTGGCGATGCGCTTCCCGCAGGACCTAAAGAAAAAGTATGGCGCAGAATGGGCCGTTGTGACGGGTGCGAGCAGCGGCATAGGGAAGGCTATCACAGAAATGCTTGCGCAGCAGCAAATTAACGTTGTGCTCGTCGCACTGGAGGAGCCACTGCTTCACAATACCTTTGCTGAGCTTCAACAAAAATACCCGAAGTGTAGCTTTCGCAAGGTGGGTGTGGATTTGGGAGTGGAGGGAATGTCTTACATGTCGCCCATCATTGAGGCGACGAGGGACATCGAAGTTGGCCTCCTTTTCAACAACGCCGGGTACATCCACACTGGGCTGTTTACGGACACAGGGATTGAGAAGTTGCGTGCAAATCTTGAATGCAACGCCATCTGCTCAATTGCCATCACCCATCACTTTCTACGCAAAATGATGGAACGACGGCGTCGGGGCCTTGTGACATTCACTTCTTCTTCTGCGGGCTACTTCCCTGGCCCAACAGCGACAATGTACAGCCCTTCAAAGGCGTTCTTAACAAACTTTGCCACAACACTTGCGGCGGAAGTGCGTCATGCGGGCATCCATGTGGTTGTCATTCACCCCTCGCCCGTGAAGACAAACTTTTACAAAAACCATGGACCAACGCTGAACTCCCTCAAGGCCGCACAGAAAATGTCAATATCGCCAACGCATATTGCTGAGGAAATATTTGCATCCGCGGGACGGCTGACAGTTTGGGATCAAGGCCTGACAACTGCAGCTTTTCGTGTGGCTAACAAGATCTTTGATTTTCAATTCTTGACAGAGCTTGTCGTGCGCTTCGCCAACTTGAATGACGACCACAGAAGGCTGGTAAGCGCCTCAAAGATACACGGCAACAAGGAGGCCTGAGCAAAGAAAGGAGAATGCTTGCCAAGCAAAAACAAAAACAAAAAAAGATAGTGACGCGGAGTAACACAAAAGGAATGCATACGTATTTATGTATATACCAAGTAGAAAGCAGTAAGGTTTTTGCAGTGTTTAAAAACCAAAAACGAAAAATGAAGCCGCCACCACAAACGCAACTCTCTTTGAGGTCCTTTTTCTTTTGCTTACTTGCGCTTTTTGTAGGGAACACTAGACGAATAAAATTAGTTCGTTGCCTGGGAAATAACTCGGCGTTGAAAATCATATATACATATATCTATGATTCGTCTTTGCAGTTTGTAAAACCTTTTTGATTGTGCTGCATGTTCATTGTGGCGGAGGTCATCGTCTTTTTGCTCTCAATTGGTGGGTGAACTGTGACAATAATCCTCTCCGTGCGGTTTTATTTATATTCCACATGTCTGAAGGCGCAGGATTGAAGAGAAGGGTATGCCGCATCGTTCGCCGCCCGTACAAGTCGCCATGGCGACCGTGAGCCGTCGGATGCGGGTGCGGCGTGCCCCTCCGCGGCGTTCTACAGTCGCAGCCACAACGACGTCGTCAACGCCTCACATTTCACTACTTGTGACACCAGTTCTAAAGGATCTTTACACAGAGATGGCATCATTACCGTCATCATTATCATCTGCGCCACAGGGACTCTCCAAAGGCTCTGCTGATTTAATGTGCAAGCTCCGTTTACACCTCCAAATGGAACAGGAGTCGGTGTCTCCCACAGCAGTCGCACATGACGTGAATCTAATCAAACCAAAAAAGTATGAAAATACTACAGCCTTGGATAGCCGTGTAGAAGACGCACTGCCTCTATACAACCCAACCCTTGATCCTACTATTCTGAGGCGAGTAGCTGTTGCCATTGACATTGACGGAGCACTAAAACGTGCCCGAGATTTCGTGCGTGCTATTCGTGATGGTGGTAACTTTCGCAGTATTCTTTCAAGCCTAAGGCGGTTGCAACCTGAACTTACCATGCAGGAATTGGAACTGCAGGTGGGTATTGCAGCAAGACTGCATCACGGCAAAGATGGTCAACGCGCGTCTAGGCTCCGCGGGTTTCGAATGTACACTAGTGATATACAGGTAGCGGAAGTACTTCCTAATGGAAAGATTGTTACTTTTATTTCTCCAACACTTCCAGATACGTTTAATATCAGCCAGTACAAATCGGCAGGACCCGAGCAGCGTTATTTGCACTTTGTACTTTACAAGGAGGGGTTGTCTCTTTCTGAAGCCTTTAGACTGTTGAGCGAGACCTGTGAGGGGATGTGTCTTCCAGAACACTTTGCAGCGAATGTCGCACTGGAAGAGTCCGCGGTAACTGTTCAAGTGTGCAGTCTGTGTTTGATCCCGTCTGACTCCAATTTCGACGCGATGCATCAAGTAACCGTCATTAAAAAGTTACTTCGAGTCAACCTGCGACCGCTAAAACTCAATTTGCAGCTTCTCGGCTGGCGCACCTTTCCTTGTGATCCGTTACATAGTCATCGTTGCCAGATGCAGTATAGTATGCTTTTGCGGGGCATCACTACCACGCAGCCGACTCAATTGGAGAAGAAAGTCCAGGGGCACCTTGCGGCATTTACTAATTTTTTTGGGCCCCGCCACTTTGGAATGCTCGTACCGTTGTCTCCGTTTCGCTCATTCCATGCAACCGCAGCGTGGGAGAAAAACATGCCGGCGGAAGCGCTTCTCATTGCAGCGTGTCTCAGCGATGACACGAGAACAACGGTAGAGGAAAGTTGGATAGATGAGATGGTGGAACTTTTTCAGAAGGGTGAGGATCGCCCTGCTGTTCTGAAAGAATGGTATCATCTTCACGTTTCACGTGGATTAAGGACACAAATCGAAAGAAGCAAATCCGACCTACTGTGGAACGTACTCGCTAGTTGTCGCATTCATGAACTAAAGAGGGGTGCGGTGACAGGCTCTCCTGAGCCTGGGGAGTTTGTATTGCCAGACAGTAACTGTTTTTTCTCTGATGAAATGGTAGCCAAACCCGAACTCTTTCCCGATGGTTGTTTGCCGACTAAGACTTGCGATTACCGTGACCTTCGGGGAGTTTGTGTAGTAGATACAAGAGAGGAGGCGGCATCGCACAGTATCCGTGATATCGTCATTCCACTTAACATGGGCAGCAATGAATCCATGAGCCAATTGTCCCGTCTGTTGGGATTCGTTTCTATTTCACCTAAAGGCACTCACTACCCGCAGAATCCAGTGTCCTTTCGGCCGCTCTTTTTTGCAGGCAGTGGGCACCCTCGTGCAACGCGTCCATGGGTAAAAGTCCTGCCGGAATTAAGCAATGTGCTAGAGGGGAATGGAGAGGGCGTGTACAAGTTACTGACGGATATGGAACTTCGGCAATGCACCAGTTACACGGCGACCTCGCGAGGGCAGCCCGGTTGTCTATGGCCAATTGGAAAGTACGGCTTCCGACTGGCAGAACGATTGCCCGCTGGTGCCGTTGCGCTGACTGCATCGGATACAGCACGGCAGCGAGGTACCAAGGCCCTTGCTCTCCACTTCACTTTGCCCGCTCATGCATACAGTATGGCATTATTTAGGGAATTCATGGCAATCGAGGACCACGCACCTCTGCCAAATGCTTTTGTTGACAGCCACTGCCCTAGCGAAACGAGGCGGTCTGCGGATGCGACCGACAAGAATATAGTTGCGCTGGCGGTGTCCCCACATGATGCGGAACTCGTTGATGGCGACCTCTTGGGAAAAATGAGGATAAAGTGATTCTGTTAAAGAAAAAAAAATGCACCTATAATTTCACAGTTGTGTACTGGACAAATACAACATTTTTGCTTGAGGAACTCCTTGGGGCTTTCCGTGTTGCGCGCGATGGAGGTAAAGGGTGAGAGACGTGTTGGCGTCTAAGTTGTGGTTTTGTTTGCCTGGTTGCAAGGACTTGCGGTTTCTGTGCGTGTGCATGGTGGGCTTGTATGTGCCTCTACATTGTCTTGGTGCCTTCTTCTTGCCATCGTCATACGTCGTGCGGTGGTAATTAAAAAGCAAGTGAACGATAGAAAGTTGTGAAATTAAGGCATAATGGCGGCTGATTGGGCGGCTGTGAAGCGAACCATCAATGAAGAATGGGACAAGACGGTGCTGCCTGCTCTCTCCGCATACATTGAAGTTCCAAACC